TTAAAAATTCTGGTTTTAACCCCTCTGTGTTCTCAAAAGCATATCTATCTTCAATTAATTAATATTTAAATTAACCTCTTTCTTCTAAAAAAATTCTTTTTCCGTGTTAAACCACAACAGTGGTGAATCTGAAAGATTAGACTTATTACCCATTAGATGTGGGAGGAACAGACAGGAAAGTAATTTACTGAGATAGGGGAGACTGGCTGTACATAAAATAACTGAAGTTGCCAAAAGGTGGAGAAGGCTCTTAGGCTCTTGGCAACAAACAAGGACAGTGAGATTCAAAAATCACTGATAAATCACCGAGTATAATGAACACAGCAGTATGCAAGCAACATGAATCAGTTTCTGAGAACTTGAGTGGCTGGAAATATCTTTATCTCAGCTGTAAACTGTTTCTCTCTACATTCTTCATCTTTTGTGCTACTAAAGTATAATTAACTTAATTTATTATTGAAGGCTTGGGGTATTGTTTGGTTTGGCTTTGTAGTTTTTATTTTAAATTTATATAAATTTTATATTTATTGCTTAATAGAGTTATCATTTTGAGAACAAAAGGCACTGTCAGTTTCAAGGGTCTGAAAAACTAATGAGAAGAGTAATACTTTAATGGAAAAATCTACAGGTTGTCTGAAATAGTGTAGGAAAAAAAGTCATATTCTGAGATTTAGACTAGAAATCAATGCAACAGGCACATAATAAAGTCACACAAAAGATTCAAAGTAGGTGAAACAAGGCAACAGAAGTTAACTTTAACTAGAGAATTCTAAAAGACAAGTTGGGATCTGTGTTCACTGTGGGTAGCAAAGGAAGGAAATTAATCTAAGAATGAATGCTTGTCCACTGAGTAGCTATCCAGACTCCTAATCTGACTTTAAATCATATGATTAAAGATTTATTCCCATGATATTTTAGGCTCCAGGGAAGAATCCAAATAAGGACAATATAGTCCCATCCAAATCTACACCATAAAAATATGTAGTAATGTGAGTGCTTTTATTTTATCTGGTAAGGCAAATTAAATTTGCAAAGTTTCATGATCTTATTAAATAATTTTTTTTAAAAAAAATTGCCTACAGGTTTTGATACAAGCAACCATTCATATTCTGAATGCAATCTAAAGGATGAATGACTATCATATAACTGAAGCTTGATGCAGTGCATTTTGTCTCTGATAACAATACAAACAGGTTATATTAATTTGCACAATGGAAGGCAAAGCAGGATGAGGTTTGTTCTTGCCAAAAATGAAGACTAAAATTTTATTTTAGGTTCTCTGAACCCTAAAAAATCCTGATGAGGGATAAAATAGATTTTTTTTCTATGTTAAAGAGTACTTAGCAAAGTAAGTTTCTAGTCCTAGGAGTTCTTTTGACTACTGCAGTCCAGACATTATCATTAAATGAGTCTTTTTTATTTATTCTCAGACAAATGAATGACTGGTCTCATTACCATTGTACAAACCCTCCAGGAAAAACAATATTAACTCTCTTGATGCAGGGTTTCTTTCGAGAGCTAATTACTTTGCACAGAGTCTGGGGCTTGCTTTGTGAACAATAGTCAAAAAATGCTTGCTGCTTAAAGCAGTTACACATGGTAAGATTTCATTTTAACCAGAACTTTGACTCTTAAAGCTTGTTTTGAACTGGATATCACGAGATGTCTAACTTCATGTTGACTGTAGACACTGGCAGCCCTTTTGAATATTTTTGTGATTATTTTGCTATGCTCTCTATTTCTGCTTAGCTAATATTAAACTGTTTTGACAAAAAAAAAAAAGGTGTCAAGTGCTGCATGAGGCAATTCTCCCTGTAATGATTGTGCCATTAGGATTAGCATTGACTAATTTGGTAGGAGAAGAAACTCTGCTGATGAATTAGGCAGTAAGCAACCCCATTTGACACCTTCTAGTCTTTTTATAGCAATGGAACTTGCATAAAGCACTGAATCACTGTATCAACAACCTCCTATTGAATTTATCCTAGCAGGGACAGCTTTCACTGGAACCTCTCTGTTCTCCACGGGAGATAATTCCTTTTTGTAATGGAAACTAAGCATCTTCTATACTCTTTGTATGTTAAAGCAGAGCAGATTATGGGAATCCAGGCTTTCTCCACACCTAAATTAGATTTGAGACGGTCACAAGTGGAGGCAGAAAAATTTTGACAATCCAAAAAGAGGTTACCAAGGTAGGGTGAAAACTAATAATTTTAATGGGAAGAGATGACAGCTAACACAAATTGGTTGTCCTTGAAGATCAATAAACTGTTCAGTGAAAAAAGAATCCATTTTCACATAATGTGGTCTCTCTCATGACTGGGTAGCTCTTTGCACTTAAGTGGCAGACCATATGAAAAGAGTGGCAATTTTTGTGGTGGAGTAAATGGATAAAGGGATAGATATCCCAATTATGAACCTCTCTAAAAAATAGAGGAATATTAAACCTTCTCCATAAAGTAAAAGACAGTGTGAGAAATATATGAAATATATATACAGAGAATAGAGGAGGACCACCATATGGAGGAATATCGGCTTTTGTTACAATCCCTTTGAGATATCATCAGACAGGTTACAAGTGCTAATCCAATTTCTCACACCAGGTTCTCTTCATAGACATGAATAATTTTTGAAATTTTGAAGTGGACAACAATGTCTAAGAATTTCAATAGCTCACTCAGTCACAAAGTGATAATAAAAACTAAGTTGATATTTCTTCAATAGTCATAATATAGACATTAGGAAACAGAAAAAATAATAATGAAAGAAAAAAAGAAAAAAAAAGAGATAATAGTATAAATTCATGACGTAGAAATTAAGAGTAATGGTAAAATATTTTCTGATTTGACAGTATTACATTTCCCCATAAAAATACATAACTATTTGTTTTCTTCTGATATAAAACACTTCACTGGAACCAGGTATATTTACACTTTAGAAGTGTAATAAAAGTGAGTACAAAGAAATTAATCCTTGGCATCAGAAAGAGTAGGCAGTCAGAAGAAAATTAGTGGTGAATTCAGATAAAAGATCAACTTTTCATCAGACTGACATCTGAAAAGAGGCTGTGGTCATATTTATACCTATAGTTTATTGAAGTGAAAATAAGGATTTTAAACTAAATTCAGAGTAGTTTTCTAAGCCTTTATAAGAAAATTGATAAATTTAAACCATACCTTTTTACTCTTTTAGGTCATAGCTGTAACATGGGTAGAAGACTTGTATGAAGACTTTAAACATGAAATATTCTATCCCACATTTCTATGCATACATTTTGTTTTAAGGAGGAAAAAATTTCTAGAAATCAGTGTTCTCCCTTTAACAGTAAAAATTTCCTCCCATTTGTTTTTGAATAAATAAAATATTTCTGGATTGTTTAACAATATTCTCTGTGTATGCTGATCTGCTGTAAATTTTCTGAAGAAAAAGGGGTTTAATGAAGCAGCCACTATTTACAAGTGGAAAAAGCAACAAAAGAATATAATGTACCCATAGCTTTAAATGTGCAAGAAAAAATACAATTCAAGAATACAGTACACAGCTCAACTGTGTTTTACTCTGTGAGAGTTGGAAGTAAAGAATTTGCAGAAAAGAAAGTTTATTCACTCTATCTTCTATATTTGTGGTGGTCCTACGTGGCCAACAGCCAGCATCCATATACCTGTTTATTTCTCAGCCATAGGGCAGGGGGAAAATAGAAGGAAGGCAAAAAGACCTCTGGATCAAGACCTTGACAGTTTAACAAGGAAAGAATGAATTGTTCATAGAAGCAAAGCACAAAGAGGATTCACCAGTTATCAGCAGGCAGATGTTTAGCCCTTCCTGGAAAGGAGGCTCTCTGCACTGGACATTGTTGCTTAGGAAATAAATTCTTTACCCATAAAACTCCCCTCTTGGTCCTCCTTTCCCTAAGATTTAATACTGTGTAGTATAAAATATTCCTATGGTTACTTTGCATCTGTATCCTGATTGTGCTCCCTCCCTGACTCTCACCCACCTTCAGCCTTTTTTCTGTGGGGAAGGGTGGTGGTGGTGTCGCTTAACATCAGAATGCAGCTCAGCCCCCACAGCTACCCACAGACACCCCCTCAAGTAGTTGGAGGAGTAAATCAGAAGGGCAAAATGAAGAAAATTAATGTGTTAAATAAAGGTAGATCGATAGGTAAAACCTGTGCACACAGACAAAGCAAAATGAGGAATTCATTCACCACTTCCCATGGGCAGAGACAGATGATCAGCCTGTTTAAGAAACTCAAGCTTCATCATGCATAATGGTTACTTGGGAAGACAAACCCCATTACTTCAAACATCCCCCTCCACTTACTCCTTTCTACAGATTTTATTTCTGACCAAGATGTCATGTGGTATGGAATTTCCCTTCCCTCAGGTGGGATCAACTGTTACAACCATGTCCTCATCCCTAGCTCATGCTCACCCCCAGTCTACTCACTTGTGGGGCAGTGAGAGAAACATAAAATCCTTTGATGTTTTATATGCATTGTTCAGCCTTAAGTAAGACCCCAAAGTATTATCAGCATGGGTTTTGTTACAAATCCAAACAGAGCACATATCGCTTTCTATGACGAAAATTCATTCCCCTCAGACAAAATCGTACCCAAGGGGGCAGTTCAGGGTAAAAAGAGAAAATGCCTTAATGATTTGCAAGCACTGTTCAGAAGTAATGAAAACATTACAAACACTGAATTCATTACCAACACTTCTTTAGTTACAAAGCACATCAGCATACAGGCTAATGTGAAGAAAGTAAACTCCATTCCAGCCAGGTGCAGTAATATTTTTTTCATATGAACTTCTAAGATGTCTCTTTATGGTGCTATGTTATTCAGCCATCAACTTTTTTCCAGAAGAACATTCAATAATCACCCTTGTCACTTTTAAAGAGACAACATTTTATATTTTTAATGGTGATGTGAAACAGGAGTACCACACTTCAGAGTTTAAAGCAGTGATAAGACTTTAAATTATCAGGTACTACTTACTTTTGATTAAGTGTCCCACTGGTAGACTTTCAGTTGAGCCTCATCTTTTCCAACAGCCAGGCATGTAAAACTCAGAAAGGAAATTATATTTTTAAGTACATAGTTCATTAACAATGGATAAAAATATCAACTTTCTAATTATTTTAATATCTCAGGTATTGCCTGATACTTTTGGTTCCATTTCTTCATCAGAATACAAAATTGTTCTGAAGTAATACTGAAGTTTAATATGAAAGGAAACTAAACCGTATCAATAAAGAAAGAAGTGTTTGAGGTTATTATGATCCTGTATTAAACAAGAGATCATGAAATACCATCAAAGACTTCGAACAATACAAGATCAACAAGGTTAAACAATGAATAATCAATCAGCAAGGAAGAAACAAGAAGCATGTGGAAAGACAGAGCGATAAGCAGTCCAGTAAGAAAAAATAAAATAAGGATGATAGAGGAGAGAAAAACGTTGAACAGAATGCCTATAAGGATTTATATCAAAAACTTGGAACTTAAGTAAGCTTATTTTCAAAAAGTAACAACTCTGATTTTCTTATCAAAAAAGTTCAACTCATTTAAGATCAACACACAAAAGATCAAGAATTTAAAAACCACAAAAAAACCAACAAAAAACCCCACCCTGCAGCATATCTGAATCACTTGGAAGAGCCTGACCTACATGCTTATCTATTCTTTCCTCAGACAGTAATGCTGTATACTTAAAGACCATACCACAAATTCAAAATTGCATTGAACAGCAATCACCAACTGAAATTTGGCTGATTATTTTCTTTATTTTTCTCTTGAAAAGATTAATTTCAATCTGTTGCAATCAAAGAAGCAGAATCTCCAATTATCTTAAGTTACACAAAGAAGTAATTTTGGAAACCAGAACAAGAGAATGAAAGCAATATAGAATCGTAATTGTCCTTAGTTAAGTGCAACTTCAGTATTCATGCTGTGGATTCAGAGAGGTTCAAGGGTAAATTTTCAATGAGAAATTAATGTACTTGTCCTTCTTAACCTTAGATCTTGAAAGGTCATTTTTAATTATTGGGGAGTGGTTGTTTCTATGTGTTTGTTTGTTTGTTGTGTGTGGGGAGGTTTGGTAAGTATAAAGGAAACCCTTCCTCCCCTTCCTTCTCCCCCCCATTTAGTGTCAGTCTGTTTGTAGCGTTCACTTTAACAAGACTGATATTTCTTTTTCAGCCAAAGTCAATAGCCAGTCTCTACTCACTATCATTGCAGTAGGTTATCAGTTTAAAGACATGACAGGAAGTCTGAGCCATTATCAAGAGGAAATATCTTCTACACTTAGCATGAGGTTGCACCTATCAGTCTCTCTTACCCAATTAAATTTGTTTTGCTGAAACACAAGGTGAGAATCTCTGATAAATAATCAACACCTTCTCAGAAAATCCTCTGCATATCCAAGAGATTATACTGTAAAATTAAAAAAAAAAAAAAACAACAGCTTTTTTATGGTAATATTTCTAAAAAATAAAAACACATTATAAAGGACAACCTGATCCTTGGGGAAAAAAATCAAATTAAAAGGAAACAGTTTTGAAATTATGTGTTAAAGGTTGAATAAATTTTATTTCAGGGAAAAATATAAATTGAGAAGTAACCACTTTCAAAGCATTGGTTGAAACCAACATTTCTGTACAATCAGAAGTATCTGATAATCTTAAAATATTCCACATTAATTCCTTAGATACCTTATTATTACTCAGATATAAAATAAGTGGAGATTCCCATAATATGGCCTACAGCTACTTTTCCTCTCTTGTCATCCATTGTGTAGTCCAACTGGAATACGATATGGCCAGTTTTCATTCAGTATATATAAGTATGTTTGACACCCTGCTTCATGGTTAACTGCTTCTGTGATTTTTTGAGACAAGCAGGTAATCCCTGGAAGAATAGAAACATCTAATAAACATATTCAAATAATTTTTATTTCCTCACCTTCTGTGAATCACCTTAATTTACTAAAAGAAAGACAGGAATGATGATGAATATTTATAGGATAGTTATTCTAGTTGATTAAAACAGAAGGTAACAGTGATAATTATACTATTTAAAGAATAATAAAACTAGCCTCCTACTCAGGTTTAGTTTATTACTCATGTCAAGATTTACAGCTATTAAATTCAACCTAAAGTTATGTCTCTTCTGTATAGAGATATAAATGTCAAAACTTCTCCAGCAACAGACTATAAAACTACCTAACCAGAACTGGCAGAACAGTTTCTCACTATAAAATATGGTGTAGTTAATCCAGCAAATAAAGGTCATGTTTAAAGAAACAGAGTAAGCAGCATAAGTGAGGACTAACATCTTTTAGTAAATATAAATTTAACAACTAGGAAAACACAATAAAAGAACTCCATATATTTGCCTCCAATCCCTCTCATCAAGAGCAGAATTAATTTATTGTTTCTTGCAATTTATTTTTAAAAATGATTTGTGGCATTATAGGGACAGAATTTTTAAATTTACAGGTGTAAAAAATTAGCAATATTTACTTAAAATATTTTTCCTCTCCTTTGTCATCTTGTTACAACATTTACATAATCACTAAATGTAACAGAAATTTCAAAATTGTCAAACCTCTCCTTTGAATAAGTCATAGGATTATTATGGCAATTGTGACTATACTCCCTTCACATATTAGTGGATATAGTGTAATGAATAGAGGATAATTCAAAATTTTCAAGTGCAGTGGGTTGATGGTGAAAGAAAAATATGTTTTATTTAAATATATAAAGACAAAATATGCAGAATGGGGCAGATAATCAAAATGACAGATTCTGACCATGGTCATGATATTTGACTCATGTTATAAAGTTCAGTCAGTCACACTTGAGTTCAGTGCTCTTGGAGCGAAATGTGATTTTGCAGAAGCAAAGCATCACAAACAGCTAATTCTGTGGTGACAAATTGTCAGGTCTCACACTGTACTTCTGGCATTAATTATTGCCACTCTCCCAGACAGAAAATTACTTTATCACCCCAGCTGGTACCGGGCAAGGATTAGATGTGTCACATTCTGAGGTCCCAATTAGTGTGGTTATTAGCAGGCTAACACCTCCAGGCAGTGAATTGGGTAATTCAGCATTTTGGAGAGAAGCACAAGATTTCCTGTTGTGGAATCACGGTGCCTTGAACACACTAACCAACATTTTTTAATCAGGTTGTATAATTACAATTTGCACTTCAAAGTAATATCCCAAGCTCCCTAGTCCAAAGCCACTGTTTCCCTACAAATCTATCTCCCTTCAGTAGTGACTGCCAGTTGCAGTGCCATAGCCATGTTATACAGAGGGAACAGCTCATCACTAGATATTACAGAAAAACATAATTAGGTATGAAATTTTAATATTGTGAAATATGTTTTTAATTATATATACCGTGATATGTTTATCATTTAAGAGGCATTTATCATGGTGCAAAAAATCTTTAATGTTTTTGAAGGTTAAACTCAACCTTCGTTCACCAGTCTCAAAGTCTAAATGAATTCTTTCCTTTCTTTGAGTTTCCAAATATTTTGTAAATGGCTTATAAGTTGAAGAAAATTAATGAAACAGAAATTGAATGGAACAAAGTAAAGAAAAAACTCCTGATTCAAAATTATAATTTCATAAATGTAGTGCACCTTATCTAGTTCATGGAATCATAGAATCAGTAAGGGCAGAAAAGGCTGTCAAGATCACCAAGTACAGTTATCAACCTTGCACTGCTACTATATTCACCTTTAAACCATGTCTTTAAGTGCCATATCCACAGGTTCTTTGAGCACTTCCAGAGATGGTTACCACCATGGGCAGTCTGTTCCAATGTTTTACAGTGCTTTGCATGATTTTATTTTTTTTTCCTAATATCCAAGTTAACCTTCCCTGGCACAACTTGAGGCCTTTTCCTGTCACCCTCTCACTTCCTACTTGGGATAAGAGACTGATTCTCTCTAGTCTACAACTTCCCTCTAGGTACTTTTGGAGGGTGATAAGGTCCCTTCGAAGCCTCCTTTTCTCCAGATAAACAACCCCAGCTCCCTCAGGCACTCTTCAGAGGACTTGTCCTCCAGACCCTTCCCCATCTCTGTTGCCCTTTTCTGGACTCCCTCCAGCACCTCAATATCCTTGAGACCTCACCACTGCCAAGTACAGGGGGACAATCCCTGCCCTGGTCCTGCTGGCCACACTATTGCTGCTGGAGGCCAGGATACCATTGGCCTTCTTGGCCACATGGGCACCCTGTTGTTTTTCAGTATGAATTGTTTTGGCACATTGTGATTCAAAAATACAATTTCTTCTCTCTTGGGCCTTGGTCTCTCTTGTCTTCCTCAACAGAATTTATGAAAACTACAATTTTTCTCACACACACTTTACATAAAAGTTTTTAATTAATGTTACACAACAAAAACAAAACAAAAATAAATTAAAATAATATTTAGACTACTTTTAAAGTAACAACATTATTTTACTCTTTACAGCATTAAGTGTTTATTTTCATTTATTAGGTAGTTTTTGCACTTGATCACCAGATAAGAAATCTGAAGTTATCTACCTATAAAAGCAAAAGAACCAGAAAACCCACTATTTCACTATGATTTTGTAGGAAACTTTTTTTTAAAGAGTATTTTTTTGCTGTTGTTTGTACTTTTTTTTCTTTTATATTTTGAAGATTAATAATATACTGAGAATCTGCAAAATTAATTTTGCAATAAACAAAAGTAATTGAGAAGATTATGTGGATCACAAAAGAGTCAAATGCTTCCAATTATCATAAGAGTATTACCAAGGTTTTGGAAAAAAGCATTATAATATCTGGATAATTTTTTCTCATTAGACTGAATTAATTGGTTTTGGATGGGGTACAGCTAACTTTCTTCACAGTACAATTTATTTATCTCACTTTTTTTAAGATTTGAAGCAGAAAAGGGTTTTTAGCTCTCTGTTAATTTTGTGAAATTATGACAAAGCCTGTATCGGTTTCTTTAATTTATATCTGATTCATAGTGTGGTTGATAGTGAAATGTAAATTTCTATTTAAACACAGAACTGGAGATTT